ACCACTGAACAACTGGTTTAATCGTATGTTATGAACATGGTGACCCTATAATAGATTATGTTTCTCTCTCTTTTGGCACGTAGGAAGCTCAGCTGTGTTTATGGCTCAGCTTTTGTGATTCTGCTGGGATTGCCAACTGAACAGTGTCACCAGCCAATCTCATTTATTTCTCTCTGTCTCAAACCTTTATTTCTGAAAATCATATTGCCTTTGGGCTTTATGTTTGTTTGTTTGGTTGGTTTTTCGAGGTAGCGTTTCTGTGTGTAGATTTGGAGCCTGTCCTGGCACTTGCTCCGTAGACCAGGCTTGCTTTGAACTCACAGAGATTCGCCTGCCTCTACCTCCCAAGTGCTGGGATTAAAGGCGTGCGCCATCACCGCCCGGCTGCCTTTGTTTTTAAGCTGCTTGAAGGAAAGGGGTTAATGAGGAAGAGAAGTTTGGATAGGTAGATGGGTGAACGTTCTTCTGTTGAACATAAAGGGGAATGGGTCAGTGGGGTGTGCATTTGCAGGGTGAGTGTTTGCATTGATGAACCCATGGGTGGGCGGTTGAGCATTGGATGGACATTTGAGCTTATAGATGTGTGGATGTGTGGGCTTTTAATTGATGGGAGGGCAGTGTATGGCCAAACACATGGATGGATGGATGGATGGATGGATGGATGGATGGATGGATGGATGGATGGAAGAATGACTATTTGAATATGGGTGGATGCTTGCCTGGATACATGGATAGGTACATAGGTGACTGGTGAATGGGAAGATGCCCAACCAAGTTAAATAGTAAGGTATGTTTTAGCATAAATGGATTAATGGGAGAAGGGCTGGGTGGGAATTTGAGCAGCTATGCCGAAGAGTGTATAGACAGATTGATAGCCGGAGGAAGGTGGGTCTTAGCTGAGTGGACATACGGCTGATTGGCTAGGGGTTGAGCACGTGGAAAGGCGTGCACATGTGTGTGCATGGCGGAGGAACAGGTGGGAGGGCAGAGGGACGAACAGCACTTGGATGGCTAGGTAACACTTTCCAGGGCACTGCAGAAATGTGCTCGGGACCAAGTGCTTGTCTGGGGTGTTTTGCCCATGGCTGGCCTGGGCTTGACAGTATAACTTAGGATGTGAGCTTTGTAGACTGAGTTTCTGATCCTTGTCCTGTCACCTACGATGTGACTTTGAACAGTTCTCAGTTTGATCAGCCATCAAAAGCAGCTTCCCAGAGGACGGCGCTGAGGACGGAAAGGGCCCGTGCTTCAGGAGAGCTAACTTGCTGCCCTTAGAGGTGCAGCATGAGAGAGATTAGTCGGCACAAACACGACACAGAAGTCTTTTTCCCTTAGTCTGTCTGATCCACTCTAAGTCTCATACCCACCATGGGACCAACAGCAGTTGCAAGCGGCACAGGCTGCTGGGGTTAGGCCAGTCACCAGCGTGAGGGAGGGAAGCAAAGAGGGATGCTGGGTCATCTGGTGAGAGGTGACGTTCATGCTGGCAGGCAGCGGGAGGAAGCCTATTGCCATGTTACAGATGTAGAAAAGGCACACTTAGGTGTACCCGGCGCTCTTTTCTTTTGGGCCACCAACCAGCTCCCAAATCATGACTTGAAATCTCATTTTTAGTTTTGAATGCTCCTCCTAGCTTATGCTCATTTCTGGCTAGCTCTTTTGCCCAGGGTGTGCCCCTCTCTCCCTCATTCTCTCCTCTTTCATTCTTTTTCAAGTTCAGGTTTCTCCGATTTGTTCTCTCTGCTCACCAGCTTTGCCTACTCCTCTCCTGCCAGGTTCTTGGCCATTCAGCTCTTTATTAGACCAATCAGATGCTATAGGCAGGCAAGGTGAAACAGCACACAACTTTGCATAAGTAAACAAATGCAGCTGAAAGGAACGTAACACATCTTTACATAGTTAACAAAGGCAGCAGAAACAAGTGTAACACACCCTTACATAGTTAAAGTGGTAATCCACAGCATAAACAAACACAACCACATCTTTACATAGTTAAATATTCCACAACACTTAGGTTTATTTTTAAAAAAAAATCCAGGTAGACCTGTGCCTGTGACTGCAGCCCTTAAGGGTAATGGTGGGGATCAGGATGGGGAGGTGGAGATAAGTGGGTCCTTAGAGCTGATTGGGAAACCAGCCTAGTTGCCCAAATCAGTGAACTCTGGGCTCACTGCAAGACCCTGACTCAAAAGATAAGATGAAGCGCAATAGAGGAAGACAACGGACATTGACCTCTGTCCTCTACATGCTAGCTCACACACATGCACACACCTGCATGGACACATACATGCAACACACGCACACAAAGAAAAAAGAAAAAGCCCTTCTTGGTATCTGAGATGCGGAAGGAAACCCATCTGACCTGTGATGGGGAACCTCAGAGCTGTGCTGCTTGGTGAATTAAAGCCCAGAATGCACTGTCTTAGGAGTGTAGGTCAAAGACCTAGGACATGTGTTCAGAGTGATGGTTCAGGGCTTCAAAGAGAACCTGAAGGCAATGGGTATCCCTCAGTAGCTGTAACACCCTGCTCCTTTTTCATTAACTTAAAGTCTTATATTTTGCTTTAATGTTATTTAGACTACTACATAGATTTAAAGATGATTTGGACATGTTGGAGACTCATTTCTACTCCCCAGCTGGCAAAGGTGGTGGCTACAAGCAGTGAATCAGAGCATCTTAACTCTGAGACCTTTGGGGACCCCTACTTTGTCCTTCTCTCCTTCTGGCTGGCTGACTGGGTACCAGACCAGGCTTGCACATAGCTCTTTTCACAGATTATTGTCTTTGCCCGTTGGGGTGTCTGTGCTATGTTTAATCACTTCCTGGAAGAATCAGGAGTGCAGGAGTGAGCCCCTGGATTTATAGATCCGTATCCCTATACTAGGCATTAAATGGCGATGCCATAGCTCTCCTGTACCCCAGCTGGGGAGAGCATGGGTCTCCAGGCTTTGGGTCAGACTCTTCCCATCTTCCACTAGAACTTCAGCTCAGACTGCTTCTCCTGGCAGATAAGGGAAGAAATGTTTCTTCTGTCTCAGACATGGTTCTTCTGTGTCCTGAGAATCACTTTCAGTTCAGCAATGGCATGTTCCCACTCTACAAAGGTCATCCTAGAGTCCCTGAAGGCTGGGCTCACTGTAAGTGGGAGGCATTGAGCCCTGGGAGTATTTGGAAATGAGGTGACCAAAGACCTGGTGGAAGTGCCAGGGTCGGAGACCATGGCTGGTACAGTCATTCTATGCCTGCAAGCCATCCCTGAGAGGTCAAGGCTGGGCTTGGGTTCCCTGGGGATCCAGAGTCAGGTTTCACTACTTAGAATCCCACTTGCATCCCTTCTAGGTGCGTGGCCTCTGGCAAGGTTTCAGCCTTCCTACACAAGTTCCTTCAGTGCCCTGTGCAAGCGGACTGGGCTTGAGTCCCCATCTTAGTTAGGACTATAATTGCTATGACGAAACACTGTCACCCAAAGCAAGTAGGGGAGGAGATACTTCTACATTTGTAGTTCCTGACCTAAGGAAGTCATGATAGGAACTCCAGCAGGACAGGAACCTGGAGGCAGGAGCTGATGCAGAGGCCGTGGAGAGGAGCTGCTTACTGGCTTGCTCCACAAGGGTTATGGAGCAAGCTTGATGGGTTGCTCAGCTCACTTTCTTATAGAGCCCAGGACCACTAGCCCAGGGATGACACCACCCACAATGGGCTTAATTAATGATTTGAGTCAATCACTAGTTAGGACAATTCCCTAGAGCTAGATATTATGGAAGCATTTTCTTAATCGAGGTCCCCTCCTCTCAGATGACTTCGGCTTGTGTCAAGTTGACATAAAACGATCCTACCACAGTCCCTGTGAGGACTTTAGAGAGAATGGCATACAGTCTGGTCAACCCCTTGGGCATAGAAGCAGCCCATTGAATGCTAACTAGACTTGTTCTTATTCTTCTTTCTGGAACCTCCAACTGATAGCCCTTTGACCTCTGCTGGGAAGTGTTGAGAAAGGACTTAAAACAGCAGAAAGAGTGACCTTTACTGAAGCTATTGACCATTGTTTATGAGACAGACGTCTTTGTTATAACAAGGAAGCCGGAGCAGCTGAAGGCCAGACTGCGGGCCATAGGGGGTGGGGGGCAGCGCACATTCCTTCATCCCAGAGATGACACTTTTTGGGTGATGTACAGTTTATTTTACTTGCTCTCCCGGCTTCGAATGAACCAGTTCTCATGGATGTAGAAGGACCCCATATGTTGGCAGTATTGGCAGGCTTCAGAACGAGCCAGAGCCAGGCTTGCCACTTAGCTGCTTCACTGTGGCAGGAATTGGAAGCCCCCCCCAGCACACACACACACACACACACACACACACACACACACACACACACATATCACAATGTGACTCTTCTGAACACTGGTGGTCAGCCTTGCTGCTGAGCCAAGATTGTTTGCAAATAACTCTTCAGTTCCTCCGAGTAAACTTTATTGAGCATCTGCTGAGTTATTCCCTGTTCTAATTTCATTTCTGGTGTGGTGGTTTAAAAGACAAAAATGCCCTGACAGGAAGCAACTTGAGGGAAGAGGGTGTTATTCCTGTTTCCAGCTCCAGACTGTGCTCCATCATCCTGGGGAAGTCAAGGCAGGAACTTCAAGCCACTGATCACCTCCCACCCACAGAGAAGAGCCGAGGAAAATGAGGACATGATTCTTGCTGTCCTCCCTTCTTGTCCAGCTCAGAACCTCCTGCCTAGGGAATGAGGCCACCCACAGTGGGCTGGGTCTTCCCATATCACTCACCTCCCTCAAGACAAGGCCCCTCAAGGCAGACGTGCCCACAAGCGGACCTAATGCAGACAGTGCCTCACGGAAACTTCCCCGATGGTTTCAGGTTGTCTCAAGTTGACAATTAGAGCCGTCACATCCCCTGATAAGTCGTATCCTAGCAGCTTGTGATGGTGGGAGAGGGAAGCCAGACTCTTGCTCTGATCCTTCTGGTGCCTCTGCCCTTGCAGACATCGACGAGTGTGAGAACGACTACTATAACGGAGGCTGTGTCCACGACTGCATCAACATCCCCGGGAACTACCGGTGCACCTGCTTTGATGGGTTCATGCTGGCTCACGACGGACACAACTGCCTGGGTGAGTGTTGCGGCCGAGCCCCTCCGACCACAGCCTTTCCGTCTCTCAGTTTTAGCATGCAGAGTTGGGGGCCGTGCGAACAGGTGCCTTCCTCTTGCTCCTCGGCGTAGTGTGTCAAGTTGCCATAACAAAACCCCACAAGCCGTGTGGCCTCAACGGCAGAAATTTCCTTCCTCACGTTCTAGAGGCTGGAGGACGTGAATGGGGTGCCTTCTTGTTTATGTCCACATGTGCACTTTGTGCACACATCCATCTGGTGGTACCTCTCTGGGTCCTAATTGCTTCTTCGTTTAAGGACACTTGTATCAGTGAGGCGGCTCCGTGTAGTAGTAGGATGTTTTTGACTCTTGGTTGTTTTAGAGGGGCCGCCACCCAGCTCCCAAACAAATCACACATGGAGGCTTATTCTTAGTTAGGAATGTCTGGCCTTAGCTTGGCTCATTTCTTACCAATTTTTCTTCACTTGTATTACCCCGTCTACCTGTGGCTTCTGGGCTTTTCCTGTTCTCTTACTTCTGTAAATCTTGCTCCATGGATTGCTGTGTAGCTAGATGGCTGATACCCGATGTCTTTTTCCTTCTCTGGCCACTTCTCCCAGATTTCTGCTTCTGTTTATCCTCTCTGCCTGCCAGCCCCACCTGTCCTTTCTCCTGCCTTGCTATTGGCCATTCAGATCTTTATTAGACCATCAAGTGTTCTAGACAGGCCAAGTACCACAGCTTCACAGCGTTAAACAAATGCAACATAGACAAAGGTAACATAATATTCCCCAACAGGGTGTATTAGGTACTATTCTATTGCTGTGATAAAACACCATGGCCAAGGCAACATATGGAAGAATTTGTTAGCTGATGATTCCAAATGGATAAAGGTACATCATAGGGCGGGGGGAGGGGGAGATGGCGGCTAGCAGCAGGCATGAAGGCATGGCAGCAAGCAGGAGCAGGAATCTCCAGCTGCAAACACCGAGCAGACAGAACAAGCTGGAAGTGGATGAGGCTGTAAACTCTCCGAGTCTGTCCCCAGTGGCATACTTCCTGCAGCAAGGCTGCACGTCCCACAGCCTCCCCAACTGGGGAACCAAGTGTTCAGATACATGAGCCTCTGGGGGGACATTTCTGATTCAAACCACTACAGTACCACCAAGCCTGACCCCCGGGGTTCAGTCCCCAGGATTCATGTGGTGGAAGGAGAGAACCGGCCCCTGCCAGTTGTTCTCTGACCTCCACATGTGTGCTGTGGCACGCATGCCCACAGACACACACGATAATTAATTAGTTAATTAATTAAACCATTAAGGACACCTGTCATAGTGGAATAAGTCCACCCCAACAGTTCCAGTTTCAAATGTAATTACCCCTTTAAGTCCCTGTCTTCAAATATAACCACATTTCGAGGTAACAGTGCTTAGAGTCCTTCAACATGGGACTTGAGGGAATACAGTTCAGCCCATAGTCTGGTATTCTTCCGACTGTCCACAGTTCAAATATATCTTAAGCCAGTTATACAAAATTTATACCCGTGATCATTTTTGGTGAATAAAGTTGAGAAAATACAGAAGACTAGGGAGCAGAAATGGCAGGTCCTGCGGGCGAGCCTCCGTTGGTCAGAAGACCACCTCTGTGGTCAGCCTAAATGTCCCTTTAGTATCAGGCATTGCCACATGGCCTCAGCTTTTCCATCTAGCCACTCGGCCAGCCGAAAGTTGCTAAAGGCCTGTACGAGCTTCTTGGGGGTTACTATGACAGAGATGACCTGGGTGGCTTATGCGATGGACATTGATTCTCTCATAACTCTAAACGTTAGAAATCCAAAATGGAGGCAGGGCTATTTCTATCCGAGGGAGGCAGGTAAAGTTCTTTCCAAGGCCTTTCTCCTGGCCCACAGTCACTCAAGAATTCTTACGCTCGTAAGTGGTGTTTTCCCGTGTCTTCACACTGTCTTAGCTCTATAGCCGTTCACAGTGTCCAGATCCCCTTCCTCATAGGGACATCAGTTATAACGGATGAGGGACCGCCATGACTACCTCCTCTTATCCTGATCATTTGCTGTGATGGTTAAACCCATCATCTTGGCCGGATTCAGAGTCACCAGGGAAACACCTCTGAGTGTGTCAGATGCCGTGTGACCTGCTGTTTGTCACAGCCTCCCACCATGACGGATCGCATCCCTTTCAGCTTCCTCCCCTAAGTTGCTGGAGATCTCAGAAACCAGAAAAGAAAACTGATATAACTGCAGAGGCCACATTCATAGCTCTGGAGCTAAGAATCTCTTTTGAGGGGACGTGGAGTTGATTCGTAACCTGTAACCCAAGGACAGCAACTAGTGGACCGTACAGTGCCCCCAGAGCAGACCTGCCTGCTCCCAGCCCTCTCCTGCATTAGCTGCAGAAGAGTAGCAGGTGGATCCAGGAGGGCCTATGTGTGATTGACAGGAGCATGGCTGTGAACAGGTTCTGGGCCTGTCGGGGTCTCTGTCCCACGTCAATGAAAGAAGGCTGCCACAGCTGTTAGAACTGCCATGGTCTCCGAGGTTCTTCTTCTCCGGGTCAGTGTGCACTGTGTCACCAGGCTGAGTGTCAGGATGAAATGACAGGATAAAGCCGAGGGGTGTGCCCTGAGTACAGATTGAATGATCAGCTAGCCAGCCTTACTGATGCTTTAGTGGCTTAGCCATCTTTCTGCCTTTGCCATCAGAATCCAGACTGCGTCTGGGCAGAAAACATTTTCCTCCCTGGTTCCCTAAGTGGTCCTTCAGAATCGTTGCCACAGATGGGTCTGAAGGGTTAAAAGATCACCAGGATTCTCTAGCCTTGCATACAGGAATTTCTGCAAGGGCCAGCCAGACCCCCATGGTGCCTGCTGGCTTGTCAGCACTAGGTAGAGGGGTTCAGTACCCCAAGCACTCGGGCCTCCCCTTCCTAGTGGCGTGCCAGTCTGTGAGCTGCTGTCTGGTTTTGTTTAATGCGTGTTGGGGCTCAGATGAGCTCATTATGGGAAACAGATCTGTGAACATGTAATTACACCCCAAATAAGTGCCAAAACGGAGGTCTGGACAAGAGTTAGCAAAGACCAGAAGGGGCTGTGAAAAGCCACCCCTGGCTGGGGGAGCATGGGGGTGGAGGCAGCATTGCCAGAGCTTCAAAGAGGAAGCTCTCAGCGGGCTCTCAGAGGGGGAAGGAGTTTGTAGGTCTGGGCCCAGTGTGTGTGGAGCTGCAGGCAGCTCCTTGAGGCTGGACTTAGGGACGGCAGAGCCCAGCAGGGCCTTTGACTGGGGACCACACAGCTTTTGCAATGCCACACCCAGGTGAAGTGTTGCCACCCGCCCCTCACCTGGTGCGTGTACCCCTCCTCGGCTGGTTCCTCGGCTGTCCGGCTGTCCGCAGCAAATACGTTTGGGCGGTTGGGTAGTCAGTGAAGCCTCAGCCCACCACTGTCCCCGGGGATACCCTGTTAGAAGCAAGCAGTATCACTCTGGCCAAGGGAACAGACCTGGATGTCGGCTGGTTTGACACTTAAGTCTTAGCTCTCCAGTTCTGAGCTGTTTAGTCTTTGGTCTGTATCTTCTATTCTCTGTGCCTCCGTTTCCTATCTACAACATGGAGAATATGTAATCCCTGTTCTAGACGGGTTGGGTGAGGGTTCTGTGAAATCACAGATGTAGTTAGCAGAGTGTCTGTCATCAGAAATGGCGTAGCATGAGTCACCTGCCGGTGCAATGTATCGCATGAGCGGCTTTGGTGCCCCAATACCCCCATGGGACCATGCTCTCTGCTCCCTAGATCATGTGTGACACCTTGGACTCCCTGGCTGAGCTCTGTGTCCTTTTCTGGGAAGGGCAACCCTTATCCCTGTTAAGGCAGGCACCCCTGCCCCCGCCTCTCCAGCCTCCAGCCTGATGGCGAAGTCTGTACGGGTTTGTTTCAACAACATTGTTTTCACTCTGGGTTCTTTTTACACTGATAGAAATGAAAGACTTAGGCAAGACCCCTCTCTGTCCTCCCCGCTCCCACCCTGAGCACAGACCCTGCGGCCGCCGAGGGCAGACCTTTCCTACAGGCTTCTTTTGTTTGGTCTTTTTTTTTCCCTTTTGGTCTTTTTCCTTCTCAAGAGAAAACTCCGACTCAGAAGTCAGGCGTTGGTTGCAGCCAGCCCCAGCCCAGACCGACCGTGTGACCCCAGGCTTGTTGGCTGAACTTTCAGAGTCTCAGCCTTGCATCCAGGAAGCACATTAAGAACAGATGCTTGGGAGCTGGGAGAGACGGCTCAGTTGGTAAAGTGCTTGCTTGGTAAGCACAGGGACCTTGGTTTGATCCCCCAGAACCTACACTTAAAATCTAAGCCGAGGAGTGCACACTTGCCATCCTAGTGCTAAGAGGCAGAGGTGGGAAGAGCCCCGGGGCGGGGGGGGGGCTTACTGGCCACTCAGCCTAGCATGCTCGGTGAGTTTCAGGCCAATGCCTGTGAAATGACGCCAGAGGATGACTTTTGGTCCTCTCTGGTACATGCACCCTGTACGTGTGTACATGCATAAACCCACATGTCCACGTGTACACACGCAGACACACACACACACACACACACACACACGAAGCAGGGGAGAGGAGGCTGATGCTTGGGATGCAGTGAGGACTGAGGCAAGCTATAATTGAGAAATGAGCAGGCCTGAGACATGGAAGAGTCCAGTGAAGACTCTGGTATCCCCACTCTTGTTGAGTCTCAAAGCCTGGGGCCAGCTCCTTGGGCCTCCCTCCTTAGTTGCCACAGCTGTGTAATGGTCTATAGGACCAGCCTCACAGAAAGTGCCCGACTGAATAAATCTGGAGGAGACTTGGGGCTGGATGTCCATCGTATCCCGGCAGAGTTTTCAAGCTGGTTGCCTACAGCCGTCCTGACTCCTCTGACCCAGGGGCACGTTTGATTTTGCCCCACTCCAGGGCTGTCGTGTTGCCATCACAGAAGGAATTGTTGGCGCCTCAGAATTAGGCCATAGCATGTTAT